AATTATACGTTATATACTCCAGAAACTGAGACACCGGCGTGGCGAGTGGCGACGATATCCTTTTAATCATAAACCACTTGGCACCCGTAAGAGCTCAAAAAAAGGTCTGACGGTACTATGGTAGATACCTAATATAATTATAAAAATTAGACAACTAATAACTAAAATAATGGTTTGCAGATAGGTTACACCTATTAATTATTATATTGTTATTAGTTATCGATAAAACGTTAACCTATATGTGTTTGTCTATATTATTTTTATATAATATTATAGACTTACCTTACACTGTATTATATTATGCATTTATGCGTATTAGTATTTACTATAAAAAAAATTTAAAAATTTCTCCTGAGACTATTAATTAAGAGAACGCTGTACACCCGCATTGGTTGTCACCTCATAATTTTACATTCATAATAATAGGACGCCACGTAATAACAGGTTATCACATCCATTGTTGCTGTCTTACAATATATTATGTACAACATAGCAAATTTGAGTTCAGTAAAAACAATTTAGCATTTTACGTATTTATTAATAATAACAAATTAATAAACATTAATACATAATTACGTAATCACTAATGGAAAACATTTTCAAGTCCATCTGATTATTTTTTTTTAAATTTGGTACCACAAATATAATAACTTAAATCTTAATTTTTCGTTTAAATGTACAACATTATAATTTCATAAAATTTTGAACTTCAAACGCTTGTAAATAGATTAAAATTATAGTCTAAATATTTTGGAAATCATATCTCTTTATATCTTTATATCTCTTATAAAAAGTTAATATGAATAAGTATTAGAAATTTATTACTACCTACAGTAATTATAATTAGGGTTGCTAGTATTTTTTTTAAATTTTTCTTAAAGATGAAATCCTCAATGAAAATATCACGAAATTTTAGGATCTTAACTATTATTTGTACACGGTCAATTGTTTTTGAATTACAACAAATAACATATTCAATTTAAAACTGATTTCCAACTTTTCGTATTTACCTTTTAGAGTTTCCTGAATATTTTAAAAATTACTTGTAATTTTTATTTTTGACTAAGTACCAACAAGATTCATATTTCTATTAGAAGTTGTCTATAATACCCACCAACAACGTTGAAGATTAAAGATTTTTTATTCCTCTAAAAGGTGACGCTAGACAAACATAATTGTAAAACCAATGTATTCTTCGCTCCACCCAGAATCTAACTTGAAATTTTATCTCGACCAATTATTATTAAATATATAATTATATTAAATTAAAATGCTCTTATGTGCATATAGATATAAATTTAAATGATGTACCTATTATGTTGTTCTTCATAAACCTATTATACAAAGTGCGTCTGATAAACATATATAAGGTGTGCAATAACTAATAAATAATTATAAGATACTGATTTTTGTTGAGCCTTTTATTGTTCAAAATCAGTTTGAAAGCCCGTTTTAATAAAATATTTGTTGACAATTCAACTATTGGTTATCTTCGTTTAACCTACAGTATAATAATAGGTGTAGACATGTGAATACTCAAGCTTTGTTGTAGGTAGTCTATAATGGTCTTGTAGAAAAATGTGAAAAAAATTAATCTTATTATGGCGTTTATTTTGCTTCTTTACCAGTAAATAACACCGATAAATCGAAAATTACACCCCTCACCACCAAAAAAAAAACATATTGTTCAATTTATACTCATATTTTATTTATAAAGACTAATATTAATTATATATGGTTAAGATTCACAGATTTCGGATGATAAAAATAAAATAAAAAATAATAATTACTCAAGTATTATCAAATACAGTAGCTTATTTATTTTATTAAATCACACCATGTGTTCAACTATTCTATAGAAATCATTTCCAAACCTTCAAAACCACATATCACTCGCTCAGTAATGCTAATCATGCAAAAGCTATACTTACCCCCCATCAGTAAGCAGTGAAATATAGGTAGGTTAGACCTACTAGTTTGAAATTTCACATTACCAATACGAAAATTTCTTAATGTTTTAGCTAATTGAATTAAATGTCGTCACACTTAGTCCATGGCTTTTATATATTTCAATGTTTTATTTATTTTTTAATGCATATGAGCCAATAAAAGTTAATATAAAGATGTATACAAATATTTAAAAACAGCCGCGTTATGATACAACAATAAATTCTTTAATTTTGCTGGTGTTCATAAATATTATTATTGTTTCGGTGTTGACAGAGGAGAAATTTTAAAAACTTGACATGGACTCAATAATTCTGAAGGAATTTCTTAAAGACGAAATCTATACTCGCTAAATAATTATTAGATTTAAAGATCATATAATTCACAGCCCATCAAATATGTGATAATTTATTTAGGTTTAATGTTTTAACTAAATTTATCAATAGATATTTTAACGAAAAATTAAGAATTGTACAATGTACAAATAAGGCCATATAATTCAAATTATGAATCTTATAAACTGAGTCTTATTCATTTTTTTAATATTATAAATATAGATTGTATGAATGGTTTTTTAAAATTTCTCTTTTCGTTTTTAGTAGTTGTTATAGAGTAGCAATATTGTAAGCAATATGAACTATCTATATAATATACAAAAGTTATTGAGTATAGATTCGTAACAGAAAATGATTGGCAAGTATTGTTTTTTTGCAGACAAGTATTCTTTTTATTGATGTACATATTTCACGTGAAAATATAACCTATGGTATTAAATAAATACCTAATTTTGCATTATCCTAAGTTTAAATAAAAAACCTTGACAACTCTATATACAGTATACAATAGTATCTAGAATACAAGTGGACTATACATCTATACTATAACCATTATTACAAGTGACATATTTTTATCTTTTTAATTTAATTAAACTTACGTAATACTATACTATAGTATACTATCAGAGTATTTAAATAATTGAATATTAAAAACTAAATAAATTACTGTGTATACATATATATATTTAGCCATGTTGCGTATCAGTGATAAGTTTTAACTCTTGTTTTTATTTTATTTTTTGTGACAGAATCGAGATATTTTATTGAGTCGATTATCATAACAATTGAAAATGTATTATTTATAATTATAATCAATGTCATAACTTATTCTTATAACGCTTATAATTATAAATCTTCATCTCTTCATTTTAAGTCCTCATTCAAAATAATGTTGAAGCAAAATATTTATACTTTATATCATATTATTGGCTAAAATATAAACGAAATAATAAATAAATTATTAAGTCATGTTTTATATCATATAATTTTAACAATATTCTGACAAGTTAATAATATAATAAACAATTAATTATATAAACTATTTCGACTATTACTAATGCATAATAAAAACGTATTACCAGCCTATAAGAATCACAATTTCCGTAGTTATATCGATCAAAAAAAAAAACTCGAAATGTATAAGTACTATGTACATAATATGTACTTACACTATATGCCTATAGTCTTCTGTATTAGCTAATATAGCTATAATGCGGTAAAACCCAAAATACCGTTGTCTACCTTAGTGGTTGGCACTTTTTTCTTCTTGTATATTATACTAAATGTCTAAGGTTCTCCTAACAGACTCATCTAAATAACAATAGCTCTAAAAAAAGGAATACATTTCAGCGACCAAGAGTGTCCGTTATTTAGAGGTTTCGCTAATTCTATATTATAATTTAAATAAAAGACATATTATAAATAATATGTATATGTTCTAAAGAACTAGTCAATAATATTATTACTACAATAATTTTATAATATTCGATCAACAATTTAGAATACCAGAATTACCATAGGCCTGGTATCAATATTATATTTATTACATTATACTGATGTAACAGAATATGGAACGCTAGGCAAATCAGTCATCATTTCACATCAATACATTACACACTATTATAATATGTTACAAAATTTAGTGAGTCGTGGAGGTTTTTAGTGTTAATATGTATAATGATAATATATCAATGAAAATATCACTGCCAAACTCGTGCAAATAAGTAATATTATATGTTGATACCTGTACGACTTTAACCCGGTCTATTTTTTAGGCATAATATTTGTCAAATAAAGACGAATTAAATTGCATTGGTGCTCGACACAAGGGCAACGCGCGAGATATCGTCGACGAAATAAACGATAGTAATAAAACATATAATTATTTTAAAATCCTCGTCGAGATTTTATAACGCGTCGAAACTGATAACCAAACAAAGTAATAAAAAACGTTAGTTTATTCTTAAATAAGAAAATCGAAAAAAATCTCTTTTCTCCTCGACGTTACCTATCTACCTATACAGATAGGATAATATAATTGTATGTATAAAGTTTTTAAATTGAATTTCGATTTCAATGATCATAACGACACAAGGTTGCGTTATCCCAAATAGCTAATGAACCAGTAATGATAGACATTACCGTCCTTTACAGTTGTATGTATACCACCGGCAGGCTACACAGTTGCAGGCGGGCAGGCGGGCAGGTAAAGTCATCAGACATAATACGAGACACGTCTTATACAATACATCTCTGTTCGCGTCGGCTGTAGCAGTTGCAACGCCAGTAGATAATATTATTATTATTATATTCTAATATATTATAGGACCGCCCGGCGATAAGTTTTTTCGGATTCGTTTTCCATCGCCGCCGCCGCCGCCGCCGCCGTGTAGTGTCAAAACAAAACGTCGTAATTGGCTGGGTGTCAACCCGAGTCTATAAGCGTATCTTACCTCCACACTCCGCTATAACCATCATCGTCGTACATATAATATTGTATACATACTATTATACTGACGTATATAATAATAATAATAATAATAATAGTAAAATTGTTGTGCTCTCCGACTTCTGCTATTCGGCTACTGCTGTGCGCGCGAACAAAAAAAAAATTACGAGTTATTTTCGAACGCAGCCGTCGCGCGTCGCACGCGTCTATTGGCTATTATTGTGACGCTGCGGCGGTTGTCGCCTCCGTCGGACTGAGAAACAGTAGCGTTTCGGTTTCAGTGGCGCGCGTACTACCTGCGAACGCTGTTCGGATTTCGCGTGCACCGAGTGTACAACAATAGTGCAGCGAACGTCGTACGGGAAAACCGCAACAGCCCTCCCAGAACGGAGATATTCTACGCGTAAACGATAGCTGCGATCTATAAATCACAAATCGGAGATTTTCGTGGTTCGTCCACACTGCTGCCTTACACTCACTATAAATAATAATAATAGTTATAATATTTATAAAATATCATATTATACCTGTGTATTCATACAATAACCCCCGACGCGTTTTTCCGCAGGTCCACGCCGTCGCCGCTTCGAGTCCCCGACCGCGATACCCATCCACAGGTGCCTAACTACTTATACTCACAGACATATCGGCAACGATATAGCGCAATGCTAGCGTCCAAAGCCGCGTCGTGTCTGCGGACGTTTTTCGCCGTTGCCGCGTTGATCGTGGGCCGTTGCGCCGGCAGGTCAGCGTCTGTCGGACCAGGAGTTCAGAACCACGGCGACGACCGGAAGGATCTGCTACCCGTCCAACACACCATCATCGAAGTGTCGCCGGGTGATACGGCCGTGCTCCAGTGTCCCAGCAACGACGAACACCACAGGTTCCAGTTCTGGTGGATGAAACCCGACCAGATCATAGGGCCCGGCACCGCCCCCAACAGCGACAAGTTCAAATACGAAGTCCTCACCGGCACGCTTTACATCAAGGTCGGTGCTGTTAAATTAAATATTATATTTTAACATTTTACCACATTATTATGTACGATGCGTCCGATGACCGCGTAAAAGGGAATAAGTCAATTTAGACATTTTTCGATGATCATTTTAATTATAAGACACGTTCTGCAGAGTTTTTATCATCAAAATCTTTTAATTTCTGTATTTTTTTTTTTTTATCACATCTTCATTGGTTTACATGATTATGGAACAGATTTATAATTTTAATTTTACAATTAGATGCCTATCTAAGAAAAAGTTAAAAATCCATTATAGATAATACAGAAATGAAACGAAAAATTTCCTGAAAACTACAGTGATTCTGACTTATTCACTTTAACGTACCATTCATATTTCATATTAAATATTAGGTACCTATGTGGCTATGCCCTATATGCACATATATACGAAATACGAATAGTTTCATTAAAAAGTTTTCGATTGTATCAATGAGAAACGGTAGTATGTGGGTCGAGGAATAGTAATAGGTATCTTATTTTTCCCTCTCCACATTTAAGATAAAAATATAAAATACCTAATTTATGATTCAAACAATCAATTTTTAATTAGATTATTCAAAACTTGAGTTCAAGGTTAAATTTTTTTTGTAAACCTAACTTTTTTTAATTTGCAAATGTTCCATGGTTCCTCATTTTCATGGTTTCTCATTTTCCATCAACCTATGTATATATTTTATTTTAGGTAGGTAAACAATTTCAAAAACCACAAAATACAAAATTTGTTTAATAAATGTATACGAAATTTATCAAAACGTAAATGCATCCTAGTTCGTTGATATTTTAAATATATAAAACATTCATATTTGCTTTTCTAGGTACATTGAAAAGTATTAAAATATTATTATAAGTTAAACTGTTGAAGCGTTCCAAAAAAATACGTTTATTGGCACTGTATTCTAAATGCATTCCTTGACACTTTTTTAAAGCACTAAGTATTTCAACATTTTTAAATAATTTAACACATTTTTAAGCAGATCTAACCTATACCAAAATGTTTTATTGAATTAGTCTAAATTTACTTTGACTGACGTACACAAATGGGTTTGGTGTGATTAGATTTGTCCATAATATTTATATAGTTGAACGAAGGGTCTTCTTTATCATTATAATATTATACCAATTTCTTATATTTAATAGAGGAGTGTCGAAGTCAACCAAATAGTGCTACATCGAGCATCTTTAATATAACATTTTTTAGAGTGTATTTTAGAGGGAGATGATGGCCGATGGGTGATCGCACCCAGTGTGAGCCTTGGATTTTTTTTAACTATGTAATTTAATTGTAACTATAATAATACAAATTTATATTACTGTAAGGTACAAAAAAAATATGTTGATTAGGTAATGTCAGGGGGGAACATGGGTCCTCCGTATTAAGAGTTTAATTAAAAATGTAACCCTTTACCACACTGGAAAACTGCTGATATGGCACTGACTTTAAGTGGCTAATAAATAATAATGTAGTTCAATGAGGGGTCTTCATTCGAAACTTGGGCGAAACCGATATTCGATCTACCCTCTGCCATACTCATTTGCAGTATGATAGTTAATGTATAGTGGCTTATATAGTCGTATTATGTATACATATTCCACAATAAGTAAAAAACATTGTGTTATATATTTACGTCAGACTAACGGTTGTGTTCGTACTATTTCAGCAAGTAACAGCTCAAGAAAGCGGGATCTACACGTGCGTGTGTAAACATCTCGGAAACATATCGCTGTCGGCGAGGTCTGTACAGCTGGAAATAAAAAAGGAATGGAAAGACCTCTGGGAAAACGACTACACGGTAATTACTTAAACATCACTATAGGTTATAATGATATACACCGATACGCGCATTTGAATTATTATCTAACTAACGCCGTAATACATCATCGTATACTACCTATATATCGTTAACACTTCAACACTACAACATTTTATTTATCTGCTTGAGTACTTTAGGTATATCACTAAAAACTGCAGTCTATTAAAATATAATTCATTACATTGAAAAAATATGTAAACATATTATATGCAGACATGCAGTTATGATAGTTGATCGATGGTATAGGGTATTTTCTGCTGCTGCCTGCCTATATTGCATTAATACCTACATTTAATGATTTTGTATGAACAGAAAACTCTTATAAAATAAAGATTTCGTCGAAGTTAACAAAAAACCTAAGAAAAAAAATATTACTTCAATACTTTCAAAGTATAATACTAATATGTTTTATGGCAGTTATTGTGAAATTATCATACACATGAACTCTATACAAGCAGATGATAATACATATCGGCGTAAATAGAGGAGACATAGGCTATATCCCAAATGTAATAGGTACCTTCTTGATTCCTATATAGGAGCATAAAGAATAGTTAGAAAATATTATGCCCCCCTCCCACAAAAAAAAAAAAAAAAATTGGCCTATTTGCATCTGTATTAATAAATAATGTATTTTTAATTACACGGCGCATTGATTTGTGGTCAGCCTCAGCAGAGTAGGCAGTAAGTATGTTTTGAAGTTTAGATACATAACGAGTGTCAATGACGATGAAAGAATTAAGATACCCATGCAAGTAGTAGCACAAACAAATTAATTAGCTACATATTGTTTCGTCTTATAGTTTTCTAGATCGCAGTTTCTCATGTTTTCGAAAAATTTTATTGAAATCAATTTATTTATATACTTATGGTGTCTGTATTCTGTCCTTTAATTTTAATTTAATTTAGGTACTACCTGTACTATTTCAGTATTTTATGTACTACATTACTGTAAATGGTGTTATTTTAGGTTTGTACCTATATCACGTTGAACACACAATGAATAAAATAAGTACAGGTCAGCTTAAGAGTTTGACTATAATAAATTATTGGGTTAACCAAACCCTAGGCTGACATTTGGTTGAATTTTTAGGGGGGCTAAAATAATCCAATAATCCTTCGAATAGTTTTAATTTTTATTTTGAGAGTGGGGGGGGGGGGTTAAAACGCAAGCAAAAGAATAAATTTCACACGATTAGCAATTTTGCGAAAATGTGTACAATTTCAAATAGCCAATAGGTTAAATATTCTGGTATGAATTTTAAATTACTTTGAGCTCGTTCCATCATTACTAGGCACCTTAATTTACATTGTATTATGTTTTTTGCTGCATCCGAGTTGGGTCCCAAATTTATAATTGCTACACTAGTTGGGTCCCGAATTATTTTAGGTACTACACTAGTTCTTGAATATTTGTTGGTAAGTACTACACTATACTAACATTTTCCTTCCCATTTTAACAGACTGTCTATGATCTATTTAGACCACAGGTATAGTTAAAAAAGTTTTTTACAGGTTTTTTTTTAACCTAACCAACTCGTCGAGGTTTAACCGGCATTTATCGCTGTTATAGATAGTTTATTATAAGATATGTCAAGAATTATCAGATATTACCGATATTACTGAAATTATTACACGAATGCTCGAAAACCACTTACGTCTTTTTTTATTACGAATATCCCAATAGTCATATTATATACGTTTTCATTTACTTTTAAATGTAATAAAATTGTATTAATATTATTTTATAATAATTTAAATTATTATAATATTTTTACTAACTATCAATTATTTATACTTTAATATTTAAAAAAAAACTGTAAAAAACATTTTTAACCATACCTGTGGTCTAAATAGATCATAGACAGTCTGTTAAAATGTTAATGAAAATGTTAGTATAGTGTAGTACTTACCAAAAAATATTCAGGAACTAGTGGAATACCTATAATAATTCGGGACCCAACTAGTATAGTACCTTTAAAAATTCGGGACCCAACTAGTATAGCACCTTTTAAAATCCGGGACCCAACTAGTACACTACCTGCGATTAGCCCCTAGTATTCGGGACCCAACTCGGATGCGCCCACGTTTTTATACCTTTTTACTATAGAACACATATTTTTTAAAGTTCAAACACACAATTTAACCTAAGCTATTTGAAACACAAACATGAAACAATCAATATTAGTTATTTTAACGATTTGTATCACTGATCTGCAGGTCAACAGCATACGGTTGGCGGCCGTCTTGAGCGTTATGGTGTTGCTGTTGCTGTTACTGTATTTGTTTTACCTAACAGCGTATAAGAATAGTAACAGAACGTTACACTTCAGAGGTAAACTTATTGACTTGTTACATCATACATTGTATTTTTTTATCAGCTAGTTCGACAATGATGCTATGATAAGCATAATATTACTCATAACGTAATGTGATTGGTTTCAGAAGATTATTCGGACGAAGATGTGTCGATGGACAGACAGATGTACAGAAAAACTAACATAATGAAAGAAAACATGTTTCAACATGGTATAGACAACCCGACACTAGAAAAAGAAGCGTCCCAAGTCAAAAATAATGGAGAGACGAAGACGTAATAGCGGATCCAATAATACACAGTTCGTCGGTATGAAAAAGGCAGTTCCTTCTCGGAAAATGACTGTTCCGATTGTTTTTCTTCTTTTTTCTCCGTCTTTATATACCTAGTGAATGTATATATTATATAAAAAAAAAAACAAAAATACGAATAATGTAACTGTATAAAAAAAATATATGGACAAAAAATAAAACAAAAATATTAAAAATATTGTATTTTTAAGACTGAAGTGTATCACAACCTGATAAGGACGATTTAATATAATGTCCTATTTTATAGAACGAAATTCGAATCAATTACAATTTAATACAATTGTGTGATAAAAATATACAAAATATCATATACCTAACATTATACGCAAAATTTCGACGTGCATATCTCGCCAAATAATAATATGAGTACATTAAACATATTATACGAGTACGTCAAAATCTGGTAGCGGTATACACATCATCATCATCATCATCATTAACGATAGAAAATAAAATAATAATTATTACTATTATACGAGTTCAAATCATGACAACGAGTAACGACCACGACACGATACTTGAGCATAGGTAATGCGCGCGTGGGCGGGTGCACGTTGTATTGGATAGTAAAGGGTTGGGGGAAACCTCATGCGGTCTCGTCTGCCAAGTTGGAGTCCCGTGTGATGTCCATCGCACTGTCGTCATCCTCGTCCTCTTCGTCGTCCACTTCCATTTCGAACAGCCGAACCTTGTGCCGGCTGTGTGACAACAGCACGGCCACTTTCCGGGTGCCGCTGACCGCGAAACTTGTGGAAGCCATGTTTTCCATCACTCGGCACGTGTAATCGCTCAGCGTGTGACAGCTTTCGCTACTGCTGCTGTCGGCACTCGGCTGGCCAATACGACACATGCTCAGTCCGTCCGTCGAACAGTGGCTGCGCACGCTGCTGGTGGGCAGCTGCACGAACAGCGAGAACCGGTTGGAAGTCCGGTCGACTGTCTCCGTTAGCACAGACAAGTAGTCGGGTGAATAAAACTGCACGTCGTGCAAGTTCTGCTTGATGCCGTCGCACGAGTAGAACACGGTAGTACTGCGGAGCGTCACCTCTTTCGTGTCGCTGTACGCCATCAGCTCGTAGAACCCAAAGTCGTGGGCGTTGAGTTCCCGAGCACAGCACACCAGCAGCTTGTGATTGGGCAGGTCCACCATGTTCACCCGAGTGAGGCCGTACGACAGCCCCGAAGTCTCCCCCAGAGCCACGTTGTCGTACTGCACGAACGTTTTGTCGAAGAACGTTTTGCGCTGAGCGAAAATGTCCATCAGGTCGGCCTTGAGCACGGCGAACTGTTGGGTCAGCGAATGGTTCCGGGACGCAGCCACGATCAGTTCGTTCTCTTCCAGGCACGGGTTGTCCTGGAGCAGTGACCACCACTGGCTGCGTGTGTCGTACGGGCATTCCAGGTCACCGTCCAGAAAATACTGGCCCACCCGGTCCAGTTTGTAGTCTTTGGCCTTGGCCCCGGTCTCTCCCAGCCCGTTGATGTACTCGGCCAGCATGTTGAGTTCCTGTTGCGACGTGTCAGACAGAGACGGGTCGTTGGCCGAGTTCTCGTCGTTCAGTTTGATCATCATGCCGTACAGCCATTTGAAGAATAGTTTATACCGGGTCAGCGACTCTTCGATGACGATTTGCACCTCGTTGCACTTCATCAGGAACCCATTGACCGACCGTAGAGCTTTCTTTACGCTGTGCTCAGTCAGTCCCAAACATTCATACTTTTTCAGCGACATTCCGGATATCTCTACCAGCTGGAACAGAATCTGGTTGGTCACCTCCGACAGTTGTTTCACTACTAGTTTCTGAACATTGGTGTGACTCGACTCGATTGACAGGCCAATTTTCTTGATGCCCTTGTCGGTCAAATCTCTTTTTAGGAACTGGTCCATGCGTTCCGTTAATATACCGTAGATTAGCAGTTCCAATAAATCAGTAGACACCATTTCCGGGTCTTCTGGACAGTAAGAGCTCAGTTTCAGTTCCATTTCCATTAACGATACATGCTCCCACGTTTCCAATATGTTTTTCATTGTTTGATCTAAATAATCTAACGACGACAACAACTGATCGTGTTTGGATGCCAAATCATAAACGTCATCCCAACATGTATCGCACTCTTGTAGTTTAATTGTCACTATTTCTATAGTACCATAATAATATTGAATAGCCACATATAAATAACTAAAATCTACTGGCATGTGTATGTTTAACACGGTGTTTTCTTGACTGGATAATTGTATGGATCCGCACAAAAATATCCCCAATGCTAATATTTGCACTTCACAATTGACCATGCCAACTAACAATAAATTCAACGTGTCTTGGACTTTTGGTATCTTGTTCTCCTCTTCGGGTGTATCGCGAAGGACCAAGCTTTGAAGTTGTGGGAGATAATCAAGACCATTCATCTAAATTAAATTACATATGAATTAATATTAACATAATATAACCCGATAATAGGCCAGGCTTAACTTTGTGCATTTATTTATTAGTTGTTAAAACATATATTATTTGAAAATTGAAAGAAAACAAATTAATATCATAGGTTTGGCTCAAAATATAAAACCATATCTTGCATATTGGTCGATGTTTACTTAAAATTCACATATTGAATTTTTTTTTTCATTGAAATTTAAAATAAACATATCATTAGGTAAATTTTTACTTCAGAGTTTAGGAGAGTCAGTAATTTGAAATATTTCCTCAGAGAAATTGTAAACATTCTTAATATTAAATACAAATATAGTATATAATGTATTATCAATAAAACTAAATCAATAATCTATACCATTGTGGGTATCATAAGTAGGGAGTTGAAGACAAATAAATTCTATTTTATCATAATACCTGTATACAAAATATTATGTTTTGAATTAAATGTATAAATACTAAATAATAAATGTTTACCCACAAATGCATAGTTTGTCGTGTCTAAGGACTAAGTAATAACCAAATTCTAAAAACCTTAATCAATACAGAATCTATAGTGTCTTTTTTCTGAGGTTTTTCTTGCTGTACCCACATTAAACAAGTAACTTTTTTCTCAGTAGTTTTGCTGAAAGCGATGTCTTTATTTTCCACGTCCACTAACAATAAATCACCTAAATTAAACACACATAGAACTTAACTGTTTTGTGCAATATAATTATATAACATCTAAATTAGAATACAACTCACCTGAATCATACGCTACAGCAAGCTGTTTTCCATCAGGTCTCCAAGCCATTGCAGTCACCAATGTCTTATCTTTTGGGGCAGCTAAGGACCAAACTCGTTGCCATGTTAGACGATGTAAAGAAACCTCACCTGAAAAAATACATACAAAACTAATCAAATGAGTAAAAAATTAAATACATAATAGCAAAATTAGTATTCTGAATTCTTGTTTACCATGTTCCTTGGCTATGGCTAACAGATCCATTTTGTTAGACCATTCCATTTTCAAGACTTTAGTGGGAACATGCCGCTCTTCCAATTGTTTCATACCATTTCCGTACATGGTAGTCATATTAACGAAACAAAAACGCACTTCAAACTTTAACAAATTGTACTATTATTTGCGATTTGACATGTTGTATTCAGTGTATTAAACTATGATATGGATAACATACAATAATAATTCATTATACCTATCAGGATTAAACCAGTGCCGCTGTTAGGTCCTCGGAACCGAAATTCGCAATTTGTAAACTGATTCAAATATTCAATCAAATTGACTGTCGTTACTCGTTATCAGTTTATCACTTATAATCACGGACTAAGATATCTTAAATCGTGGTCAGGACCAATAAATGGTCATGGTTACAGCCTTTTATAATGGCCAGATTATGGTCGTGGTATAAGGTCTATAGAATGGAAAACATCCAGTCGTTATCAACTATTTACTGATCAAGAATTCAAGACTCGACATATTGTCAATACTATGTCGTAAAGATTATATATAATCAATAATAGTTCGTAAAAATTCAATAGTTCAATACCTACTAAAAAGTAAAAAGTAAAAAAAAATACCATTCACCGATTAAACCTTAGAAGGCATTCAATTTCAATATCATTATTCATAAACGATAAACCATCTGTAGTAGTGTCGTCATAATATTATGATTGAATTGCTTACAATATTGCAAGTAATGCTAATATTATAATCTGTAATAAATCCTAACAGTCGATCGGTTGGAGTGGTGGATAAGGAAGTCTCCGCCATAGAAAAATTACGATATATTTTATTAGTCCGAATGATTCTCATGTTTTGTTTTAATTTGTCAAACAATAAATAAACACTTACCTGTCTATTTGTCTGTCATTCGAGATTTTCTCATTACAGTGAACCATCAGGTGGTGACTGTTTCTAGTTCACTTGTAATTTCTGTTCGAAAAATGGCTCATGGACATTCAGAACCGCAGTATGAACTGTTAAATGGAAAAAAGTAACTTTTTTCATCGATAAAATGCTACAGTACTTATATTTTATTGTATATTTAATATTTGTAGAAAATATGTTCAGCCAATCATACATTCCATGGTATTAATTGGGTTAGCTGTTCTTGTGGCATTTGTAGTTGTTCTGATGTTTTATGTATCCTGGATGAAATTTGAAGACACTAATGATCAAAATACACCTATGGACTTTGTTCTTTTTGGTCCCCAGAAATATACAAGTAAATAATTTCTAGATTAAATGATGGTGTTTGTACCTATTCACATTTTCTATTTTTTATGATACATTTTATTACACACATTTCAGATTCGGATATTGCTGCTTATCGTGCTCATACATTTGCTATTGCTGCAAAATCAAATTATAAAACATTCTGGACTGCTAAAGACAAAATTATTCCCAGCAAGCGAATTGATAAAACATATAATTTGGCCTGTTATTATTCTATACCAACTGATAATACAAATAAAACACTTCATCCTGCTCAAATCAATGCTACTTTGTGTACTCATTTAATTGTTGCGTTTGCACAAGTTCAAAATAATAGCGTTTACTTCAAGAGCTCGTTTGATATGGAGGTAAGATGTTTTATTATCATTATTATAATACTAACAACTCACAATAGATTTTGTTTGATTTAGTCAACAATTTTATAAATTAATGCTTTTCTAATTCATACATATTGATGTTTTAAGAATTTAATATAATATTGTCTAAATTACTGGCCTGTGACCACATTCTTTAGCTTTCAAACAATATGGTTTGCTTAATATTAAAAAAAAAGTCACCTTCATAACTATAGATAAATATAATATTTTAACAACTGATGGGTGTGTACAAGTATACAACTATATTAAGTTGTTTGTTTTGATATGATTTTTGATCAATGGAGATCAACTTGAATTAAAAATGATCAACTGTACCTAATACACTAATATATCTTATTAGTTATTATGTTGACTGCTTTTGAGAGGTGGTAAAAAAACTAGTAAAATAGTTAATATTCTTATTGTACCTATATTATAAACATAAGATAAGTCTTCTAACAAATAAATTAAAATCAAATTTTATAATTTCAGATTTTAAGACAAGTAGTGAAGTTACGTGAAAAAAACCCTAAATTAAAAGTATTACTATCTATAATGCATTTCTCAAATGGTTCACATTCAAATGAAGGCTTCCCTGGCGTTGTTGCAAATAAAAATAACTTAGAAAAGTATGTATTAAGTGATGTGTATTTAATTTAATTTATGTATTGATAAGTTAATTTTCTCTATTTGATGACCAACATAAGCATACAATTGATTCAGTAATTTATATTATTTGATATAATAGTTATTTCCTGAGTGCTGAGTGGTATATGGTAGAACTAATTAATCATGCATAATGTGTTAAATTAATATATTTAAAAGTGAAGTTTATCCGATGGTGAATTATTAGAACTAATATGAACTCCTTATGATTTAAATTGGATGATAATGGTGTAATATTAATAATTTATTGTTAAATAGTTACAGTAGTTACATAGAAGTATAGAATAGTACAGTTTTAAAATCTATTATTCATTTTTAATTTGTTATTAACTATTCTAATTAAATATTTGTTTTTTAGATTTGTCAATAATGTAGAATCAGTAGTCAGAGAATTTTATCTGGATGGTATTGATATAGACTGGGAATTTCCTTCATGGCCTTTATTGAATTTAGAAGAAAAATATGGATTTGCTAAGTTATTAGAAACCTTACGTTACCATCTACCTGACTCTCTTTTAACCGCAGCTGTTGCTGCTCCATTAAATATAATTGATAATTCTTATGAAATTTATTCTTTAGCAAGGTAAATAATGCCTATTATAATATTATTTTAGAATACATAAACATTTTAACACTTTTCTAATGATATATGTTTTTATTCAGTTTCGTTGATTTTATAAATGTTATGACGTATGATTATCATTCATACCAATGGTATTTCCCATTAACTGGGCCAAATTCACCTTTGTTTTCTTCGCGAAATGATTCTGGATACTTCCAGGATTTAAATATTAATTCTTCCATACAATATTGGATCTCAAAGGGTATGCCTAAAGAAAAGATTTTGCTTGGCATGCCTACATATGGACATTCTTTTAAGTAAGTTACATAATTTTATACTCTTATAGTATGCTACCTACTAATTAACTATACACAATATGCAGTATGCTACCTACCGGAAAATATGACAAACCTATTTTTATAATTAAAATATAATACATTATTAATAATAATTTATTATATATTTTTATTTTATTTTATTAAACCTGTGACTTGAGTTATTAAGATAAACAATATATTATATTATAATGGTCATGCAATTCTATAATAGATATTATACTGGTTAATTGCCCTTAAATATCAACCAAGACCTACCTTTTCTTACTTATAGATATTAAATTATTTAAGTGTGTGTTGTTTAGTCTTTTCGTCTGGCTGTGTTAAGCAACAGGTTTGTTAGACCACCAACTAAAAGAGGAATGGTTGCGGTGTAAAGCCCAATACGATAATTTATTTGAAGTTTTCTAGGATGAAATAATAAATAATAAATAATAATAAATAATAAATAATAGCATTTATAATAATATATATTATATTATAGTATAACATATTAAAATACTTGACAATGATTATCATCAGCAATTGATTAAGTAAACCTTAGTTTAATAAATTATTATTAATTTGTATGTAAAAATGGTAAAATATAGTAAACTTTTTTGGTAGATAGCTAGCTTTTTACTGTAGATAGCATTGTACAACAACAAAGTAGAGGTAGGTAGCAAACTACAAAATTATTACAAATATGCAATAACTATTAAAATATTATTCTTCTCTTTTAGATTAATAAATGAAGCCAATAATGGTTTTGGATCACCAACTTCTGGTCCTGGTATTGGCAAGGACGGTTTTGTAACATTTTCAGAAACGTGTGAGTTTATATCACATCAAAATGCTTCGACTGTTTTTGACCATGACACCCGTACGCCATATTCATATCATAAAAATGACTGGATATCTTTTGATAATGAAAATAGTTTGGCGTACAAAGCAGAATTTGCTGCATCTTTAGGTTTAGGTGGTGCCATGGTATTTTCTTTAAATACTGATGATTATAGTGGGTCAAGTCTATGTTCATCATCAGTATTTCCATTAACTTCTAGAATAAAAATAGTATTGAATGATGATTACTTATAAATATTTAGGGAATATTTAACTAAATACTAGATAATAAAAAAATTCAAACTTTTTTGTTATTCAATAGTCTATAATATATTATATGTACATAAGACAGTGTACATTATGTTTATAAAATTGTGAGTGCTAAGCCTCTCAGCGTTTCCCGACTAAATTATGTATAACAGAAATAACTTATATTTTATAAAGTCTATGGATTACTATTAATCTTGTACCATAATACTCATTGGCATTTTAACTTTTTGAAATTCATATAGTTATATTTATGTACCCTACATAGCATTAATAAATAATAAATGATTAAAAGAGTATAAAATTATATTATTGAGAAGAAGACAAATAATTCAATCATCACAGACAAATCTTTAAGGGAAACCCATATAAATATATTGTAGTTGCTTAGTAGCATAATATGGCAGCTACTCATATTTAAAAGTTAGTATGTTAGAATGAACAAAGTTGTAAATTTAAAAGGAATATAATATAAATTTCCATAGCTCGTAATCTTAACCTGTTATGTTAATACATAATGTCATCAATGATATCGACAAAATGGTGCATTTTCGAATAAGACTTAAAAATAAAACTAAGTGTTTTTAAACAATAAATGTAAGTTATAATTGTATACCTAGATCCCTTAATTAGAAATATTAATAAATAAACTACTCAAAATAGCTTAATGATGATATAACATTAGTAGAATACATATTGTATAAGACAAGCAAAAAAGTTGTAGTTCATAATAGTAGTTTTTCGATATAATCTAAGTAAATACTATATACAAAAATAATTTTATAATTTTTGTTGTATAGATCACATATCTTGTTATCTCAAATTCATTGTTGAAGTATTAAAAAATAGATATTTTTAGGGTTTGTAGAAAAATTGAAATTGATTTTATAAAAAATTGTATTTTGGAATGTTCACTTTATTATATTTTATTATAATTATTTGTTTTGAATTTTTTTTAAAAGTAAAATGTTTATTGTTCAGATTAAATAAATTATTTTTAGTATTAAAATAAATTAAAATGTTTAGTATTGTTAAATAATTAATTTAACCTACATATAAGTATTACTTTTGTTGTTAGCTAATTGATAGTATTGATTTAAGTGAAGTTGAATAATATTATAGCAATATCTTAACTTTTTAAATAAAAAATGTTAAATAAAAGACTATGCAATTATAATAGAAATATAAAGAACTCCACTTATACCAATATCATTAAAATTCCATTAAATTGTTATTGCCATTAAAAGTATTTATATTTTTTTACGTATTATATAATATTATTTTATGAAGTTGTGATGTAAATTATATACTGCATTTGTAATTTGTATTAAGTATTAATCATAAATAAATAATGATGGTGACTTAAAAGCTGGATTTATTAATACTATGTATGTTTCTATGCATTCAATAGGTACTAGTAAAGTAATTAGTGATATAGTATTTGACAAATAATTGAACTTTAGATTTAATTATTATTATGGTTCATTTCATACAATAAAACTATGATGTTGTTGTAGAACAAAAGTGAAAATGTAGGTAGGTCACAAATTAATGTAGTGCATTTGAATTCAATGATAATTCTTTGCACGCAAAAAACGACTTGGTGTCTATAATATTACCAAGAGTGTTTTATGAATTGTCTATCTACAACCGTGTTTATGTAAAAATAATATTAAAAGTATTCTATGATAACATTTATCTGTTATTGTTGCACTGCTAAGTTTACAAGGGTCGTGTCAGTACGAATTCTTTCCAAAAAAAATGATTTATTGATACAATACTACACCGGGTTACAGCGGTGCCCGGCCACCCCCTAAATAGATCAATATTTGGCCGCCCGGTGCAAATGTCCCCAAAATGACCTCTGCTATGTACAAATTATTCTTATACTTAATTTAATAATTTGCATAATAAGAGGATAAATAAAATAATAATAAGGTGGATACGTCTATACGAGAGAAGCGATACATTTTTTGACTTTATTAGGATTTTACCAACGTCACTTACCTTTTCGTGAAAGCCTTAGGTAGGTACACGGCTTAAGGTAGTGTATGGATAGCTATTACTATAGTTAATCATGGTTACTGGTTACTTAGTATTGTAGTAGCTAGTAATATATAGTTATCAGTGACTGCACATTAATGCCGAGCCCGGAGAGAATATTATAGGCACGATTTAAGTATCCAATTTTTTTTTACTTTTGTAAATTTCAAATCCTAATTTTGAATTTCCCTCAACTCTCAAGTCTCGAAACTTCTAGAGTGTTATATTTAGTTAGAGTTCAGCCGTCAAAACTAAAACAATATTGTGAGTTTCTGGAAAAAATAATGGACTCTCAACAATAGTGTAACTGTGAAAGCCTAAATAGGCTATAGGTATCCAGAGATCTATGCTATGAATTTTAAAGATTTAAATACTCCAAATAATATTCTGTATATCGGAATCTGAAATGAAAAATTTTAGGTACCCAAAGAAGTGAAAAATTCGAAAACTGATAGCAATATCATATTATATTGTATTCAATATTTATAAATTATAATCTATGGAAAAAGCCGATCGTCGTCAATTATCGGAGATGATTCGCAATTCTAATAATTTCAATGAACAAAAGAGAAATGTGTAATAAGGCAACAATATAAACCGACAAGTCGTTGAACATGACATTCAGTCGTCATATACAACATTTACTCACATATTTCATTCTGTTCAAGTAATTTTTATAAAGTATCCTTCCAGTTAGGATTAAGATGAAGAAAGAAGTTCCTTGATACGGTGTCTGGTCTCTGCACTCTAGAATATAGATATGGCACAGCTATTTTTAACTCGAAGAATCGATGTACCTACACGTAAGTTTTATCGCCTATTCTTTTTAGGCTTACATATTTTACTCTTAAGTCTTAAAATTCAAATTTGTTGCCACGGACAACTTGTTACCCGGGTGACGTATTAGGTGCATAAATTTTATTCCCGAGAGCACAACGCAAAAAATACGCTAGCACAAACGACGACGGCTTCATATTCAGGTCGCAGAATAATAACATAATATTTATACAATTAAATAGGTATAAATAGTGTACGGGAGTCCTTATGTCCTGCACAATTCATCAATTTTCAGTTTTAGTAACATATAAATGTTTGATTACATTATAATATTTAAACTCTACCCGACTACCCCTCCACCACAAAAAGATCAAAGTCCGGCAAATATTTCTAAGAGGTGGAGACGGCTTTTTGGTCGGTGGCTTTTTTACCACGGCTTTTTTTATCCTAGATCCTAGACCAGTGGTATGCTAATAGCAGTCATTGTACAAGGAATGTAAGTTATGGTGTTGGTGCAAGTGGTAATTTACTTAAACATATGTAAACGAGACTTTCGGTAGTGCCACTTGCACGAAATATCAATAAAAATACTGAGGAACGGGTAGGAACTGATGAACCCTGTACTTCGGGAACACAGGTAACATGTACTTCCACACAAAATTCTGCACCAATCCTGACATCAATCAATATTAGACCCTTTCAGACCTTCACAGCTTCCTTTGTACAGCGAGACCAATAGCCATTTCAAAATAAAAAAAATAGATTCACAAATTACAAAATTAATTATTAAACATCATCTTTTTACTCCCGTTGAAGAAAAATAATTTAAAAATTTGATACCCATGTTGACACCTGGTAATGTACTTCCCTGTTCTAGAAAAACTATATCTAACAGCATTTTACCTTAGTTGTATGAATCTACGGTTGAAACAATAAAAAATAAATTTAAAAACCTAACACCAATATGCTTGACTACTGATGCTTGGACAGTGGCGTGGCGACATGATTTTATAGTAGGGGCGAATACATTTTTTTGGTATCCACCCACGTCTTACAGATTTGTATATCCCCCCCCCACCATAATTTTATTACAAACCTCTAAAAAAGTTATTATTTTTATTTTTATTATTAACCAATTCTAAATAATAATAGTAAATAAGAATTCTAGAATAGTATACTGCAGTAAGCAGTTGAATGACAAATGTCATAAAGGTAAATTAATATATTATTTACCCTTAGATATCACCCACTAACATAAGCACCCATCCACCCCTGGGTTGTACTAGGGGCGGTTGCCCCAAAAAATCTACTTCGCCACGCCACTGTGCTTGGACATCTATCAATAAAGAACCTTACATAGCTATATTACTGCTCATTTTTTTGATGATTTTACAAAGATGTCGTCAATCATCATTGGTTGTCAACATTTAACTGCCATAAAATAAATATTTTTACCCTTTTTATTACAGTAATTAATATTACAAGTTAAGCCATCAGTTTTTATAAAAATAAAATAATTTATATTAGTTTAATAATAATATCTTAAATGTTAATGTTTGTGTTTTGAAGAAGTAATATCTAAAGTGTATTATATTATTATCATGTATTTATTTTAATATTATATATACAGACTAGTGACTGTAGGTGAGACTGATAATGATAAATGATGATTGATAAATAAATGTAACGACTGATTGAATGATTTAAATGATTCGGTTAATCTTATGCGATAATACTAATAAAATATGGAGCGACGTGAGCACGGTTGTAGATAATACTAATTTACTGGTTACACAACTCCTATATTACATTGCTTATAACACATTTACCATAATATTATGTTTTGCGATATCTAATAAGCTGCAGCTATAACCTATAAACTAGGTGTGTCAGTGATAATAATTTGTAGCTACGAAAAAAAAACGATTTTTATCTAATTGTCAAAATACCTAAGGACCAATTTGATGGAATAATATTTGTGAACTTCATTCGGTCACGATTCGGTCATTTTTATTCGTTCAGTCGCGATCGAACCACCTCTAAGACCTCAGTTCATTAAGAAATGTCGTCACGGCAGCCAAACAGTTCGTCCTCCAATCGCTCCACCTACCGCAGGTGTGAGATACCTACGCTCTGTCATTATTAACCTTATGAAAGTGAAGGGTGAAACTTTTCATGATTCAATTGTGACTGGTGACAAAACTTGGGTGTGTCACTATACTCCCGAGTCAAAAAGGCGACTGCCTACAGTGGCGCCATACCCATGCATCAACCAAAATATTAAAAGTCCAATTTTCAGAGGGGAAGATCGTGGAATCTCTTTTTTGGGACCGAAAAGAGATATTATTTTTTGATTTTATGCCTAAAGGAACCACCATAAACGCAGCTGCACACAGTGAGACACTCAAGAAGTTGAAAAAAAAATCAAGGACAAAAGGATAGGAATGCTGACTCGTGGTGTGTCACTCCTTCGTGACAACGCTAGACCTCATACCGCTCGTCTCACTCGGAACCTGCTTGTTTCATTTGGGTGGAATATTGCGACTCCACCATCCAACTTCCCGGACCTGGCACCATTTGATTATCATCTTTACAATAAGTTGAAGGAGATTTGGATGAACAACGATTTTGAAATGACGAGGAGGTCCAGGATGCTGTCGAAAAATGGTTTAGGGAGGTGTAGCGGAATGTATATGACGAGGGTTACAAAAACTGGTCATTAGGCTTCAAAAATCTATTGACGATTTTTTAGTAATTAGTTCTGCTGGATTGCGTAGTCGAGACCATATACAACTCAGTACCCCGGGTGTTTTATTATATAAATAAACAATCGACGAGACTTTGAGATATTGTTTTGATTTTATTTGATGTCTATATTTGTGTAATATTTTTTAATTTTATATCCGATGGCCGATGCTTTCTCATGCTCATACGAGACAATTAAAATGTAACACAATTGTAGTAAATATGATATAGGTACCGAATACAATAGCTTCAGTTTTAATACAAAAACATTGTTGACGCATTTACTATTTTGTAAATAAAATCTATTATATAAAATGACCGGGGCCATCTGGAATTCTGGAAAATTCTCTTTTCCAGACCAGCCATTCCGTCCCCGGTGCTGAACGAAAATCTGATGTTTCATACTTGTAACTGTAGTGCTTTTAACGATCCTTCGTTTTATATAAGAATCTATTCTTGTTCATTTAATATTAAAAGAAACTCGTTCAATTCCTCGTTTCTATAAAAATTGAACTCGTTCCTTTACTTATTCCTCTAAAAGAGTATCTGGTTCTTCACATTAGCTTACATTAATATTTTATTATTTTATTATTTTATTATATATTCTAAATATTCTAATTGATCACGTCAAGTGTTAAATTTAAATGAATGACAAATCTTGCACGTGATAAACGATGCAGAGCGAAGATGACCTGTCAGCACATATTATGGTTAATCATATTTGTGGGTTATCACTGGTTCTGTGATTTTAAATATTTTTAATTTCTGATTTCGATTGGGCTATAGATAAATATTTTAAAAAACGATACGCCTGTAGTCTATAGATCGAGCCGACTGACTGGACGGCAACGGACGAACACACTATATAGTCAGCAGTCACCATCTGATCGACCACCGACCGTAGCTACTGCGGGCGGCTAATAACAATTTCTAGGACAGTGGGAGTATGGGACACGCGGAGGTTCCACGGCGACGGCACTATCTATGTGGATCCACGTGGTTTATCACCGCGTAGCGCGTATCGACGGCGGCTGATAAGTGATAACAGGCACCCGACGGGCCTACGTCACAGTGCGTCAGTGCGGCAGCTATACTGCTATAGCCTATCAGCTGCCCGTAGGCTCTAAGTGAGTACTGAGTAGCGACTAGTGAGCACCGAACTACTCAGTGTCCGAACTCCGAGTGGAGCACTAGATTGACTAGTGACTACTGCGGCTACGCGACTCGCCGGTGCACAGTCGTTGCGCGAAAAAAGGCGTTGGTCCGTCCGTCGTTCGATCGCCGGTCTTTTGCTCGTCTGTTTCTGTCGCCGCGGCCACGATGTACGCCTAAAGAGACACACGGTCGTGCCTCCTCCAGCGATTGACACACGTGATCCACCGTCGGAGACGCACAACGGATCCACATCTGAGCAAGGTACATCCACCCGAACGCCGTTTCCGGGAGGCACTGCCACCGACCGCCGAACACACGGTAGCCCCCCTCCCCCCAATCAAGGCTTCCGATCCAGTCGCTAGCCTCCTACTTTTCCACCGTTTTAAACAATATATACGTGTACCTATACCTAGATATTGTTATAATATTATGTCTGTTGTATCATCTTACACGAATTTATATAGTCATAGTTATAATAATAATGATAATGCATGTGTGGTGTGCACACTGGTCAAAAACGAATAATTAGTACATGTCGAGTTTTTTTTCAAATTGTATTTTCGTTTTATGTTCTTTGGTTTGACACAATGTTCTTCACAAAAGATGCCTCACAAGGACCGGACTGTAACGACAATGGTATCCCGCAACCGTCCGCTGACTGATTCTAGGCCCAAATCATCAAGACCAAAGAAAATTGACAAGGTAAGCCTCCCCGATAACAATATTGTTGTGTTTTTATAACCGTTTAACAATGGCTATTTTAGTTTTTTATTACTTAACATATTACATAACAATTAACACACATGTGTATTCTCAACCGGTATCTTGGTCAAATATTTGCGCCAACACAATTTTGCTTTAGTTTTGTGCTACAAATAAATATTGTAAACCTATTTTGTTTGTGATAAATTACTGCATCCCTAGTGTTATCTCTGTAATTAAAAACCCTATCTTCAATTTGTGTTTGTTTTTTTTTTGTAGGACATAATCATGCTTTATAACTAGTTAGTAATTCTTTTTACCTTGAGCGATTATGACACAAATGGTAGGTATGTATTCCAATTATGTGACAATAAACATTTTTCTTTGTATTTTAATATTGCTCAATTAATTTCTATTATTATACTTATCCAATAATATTTTTATGCAGTCTGTTTTTTATTAAGTGTCTAGATATTTATTTGTCTAGTCAGTTCCACTATTCAACGTTATTAAATTAATTACTAGTTAATTTCAATGTTTTTTATTGATTATAATATCAGCTGATAGTTCACTTTAAAATTAGTCTGAACAATTTTAATCATGGTGTTAAGAAATTCAAAATAACAATTACCTAACTAAGTAAGACAAATCTATCTCACTTATATAAATTTAAACATATTAAAATGTAAAATCTTTGATTTAAGTACCAAAACAATAAAAAGTAATAAGTAGGTATCTAAAAATGTAATAAAAAATATTAAATAAGTTTCAAATAATTTATTTATTTAGAAGTATGTCAAAGGACATTATGGTTTTGCCTAAAGTATAAAAATTTATTATGAATTATAAAAAAAACATTTTTTAATCAAACATACTAAAGAACACTTTCCTGGAGCTATAATAATTTGCAATATGTTACTGTTTAACTGTTGTATTAAACTACCTACTTGTTAGTTATTGAATTGTTTTTTTTCTAACTAATATAACATTTTGAATTATTACAGATAACTTGTTGTCTAACTACCATTAGAATAAAATTTAAAAACATTTTTTCTAATGCATTTAACATTTATGTATTGATATGTTACTGTCGTTGACCAAATTTAATATACTGCTTACACCTAACATTTTTTTTAGGTATTACAAAACGGCCAGAGTAATTCTAAATTCAAACAACTTAAAAAATCAACAAAAATGGATGTCCACTCACTTGTGGTATGGAAACATCCCATCTTAACCTTAGATTATTTCTGTAAAGAAGTAGTTTGTTTATCCAAATCATTTGTTAAAAAGTAAGTTACATTAAAAATTGTTGCGTAGTTATTTATTATAAAGAATTTTAAAAAGATTTTTTTTTTAATTCAACAAATTATCCATTGCACTCACCAAACAATTGCTATAAAACTGTTTTTCAAGGTGCCCCACAGAGTGCAATTAATTGTTTTATTTTTTTATTTACATTAAGATAATATGTCTATGTGTCTTCGGTCTTAGAAATTTATTATAAATATTCAAATATAATATACTATTTATATAATTCTGCATAGTATAAGATCTTAAATATTTTTTCAAACTTTGTTAATTAATACTCCTGTTTTCAAGAAATTAGTTTTTCTTTTTAAATTGCATTATTTTAACAACTGATAAAATAATTTAATGGACCTTGTCATCATACTCAAACAGATTTAATAATTACATTTTCAAATTAAATTTTATTTTGATCAAGAAAACAAATAACATTAAAATATTAAATTAATTATAAATGATACAAAATAATATTTAAAAAATTGTTACTGATTGTATGTATTTATTTATTTCTATTATTATTATATTTTATAATATTCGAATGTTATGCAATTTGTGAAATTAATTATTTATTTTGTTATCAGCAATATTTTATCTTCGTAATAATTATTAATTTATTTTTATTGCTTTTCAAATTATATGCAGTTAATTGTATGGTTATTTAGTTTTATTTTAATGTTTAATCAAATAACATTGTAATTTGAAATAATTCTTAAACACATTTTGTCTTGTTATCTTATAACATCTTGTATTTGTAAATAGCATTAAATTATTTCAGTAACATATTTACTAAAGGTTAATAGTAAGAATAAGATTTAATAATAAAACTGATTGTATTAATTTTTATTTTTCAGATTAATTTGTTATAAGTTATATGTGCTTCTGGCACTTTTAGTAATTTCTACTCCAATTTTTTTATTATATATTGAAGGTCCTCATTTACCAGTAAGTTATACTGTTCTAATTAAAATAAGTTAATGTAAATTAATTTAATTATTGATATTTAAGATATTAATATGGGCAAAATCAAAAGTTGTATGGTGTCTCTACTGGTTAGGGCTAGGAGTCTTATCATCCGTTGGTTTTGGTACTGGCCTTCATACATTCCTTCTCTATTTGGGCCCACACATTACCTCTGTCACTTTAGCTGCCTATGAATGTGGAGGACTTAACTTCCCTGAGCCCCCATATCCAGAACAGTAAGTTCTACTTAATTTATTTTATATAATCATACCTACATAATTATTTTTAATAAAATTTATACATTTTCAGAATTATTTGTCCTGACGAAGTTGACAGCGCCTGGATAGCCAGTTTATGGAACATCATGTTAAAAGTACGAGTTGAAGCCATGATGTGGGGAGCAGGTACTGCTCTTGGTGAATTGCCACCATACTTCATGGCTCGTGCTGCTAGACTTTCCGGTAGACCACCAGATGAAGACAAGGAAGATCTAATAGAATTTGAAGAATTACTGAAAAAAGAAAAGCACCCTGAAACAATGGTTACATTTATATATATTAGTTCATTATGTTCATTGTGTGGTAATTCTTTTTTCTATTTTAGACCCTGGTAGACAAGTCAAAATTGTTTGTTGAGCGACTTGTAAAAAAAGTTGGTTTTTTTGGAATTTTAGCTTGTGCATCTGTAAGTTAAAAATATTTTGTTAACGATAAATCATACTGGCGTTTGAATGATATAAATATTTTAGATTCCGAATCCATTATTCGATCTAGCTGGGATTACGTGTGGACACTTTTTAATACCGTTCTGGACGTTTTTCGGAGCTACTCTTTTGGGTAAAGCTGCCATTAAAATGAGCATACAAGTGTTATTTGTTGTAGTGGCTTTTAATGAAACACTGATTGCAAGTGTACTCGATATTGTTGGCAAAATCCCAGGAGTTGGAAAAAAATTGCAAGCACCTATTACAACGTTTTTAGAAAACCAAAAACAAAGGTTACATGCCAAAAAAGACTCAAAGGTAATTTGTAATATTGATCTTTATAAATTATACTCTTCATTACTAACATTTATGTACTTATGTAGGGCACAAATATTGCTGTAAAATTGTTTGACCTATTTGTGTTATCAATGGTTCTTTATTTCATTGTGTCATTAATCAACTCTATGGCACAAAATTACTATAAGCGAAACCACAAGACTTCAAAAAAGCGATTAAGCGACTGACATACGGTTGTCAACCGTTTGAAAAAATCTTATCGTAAGTCCAAACGGCATTGAATAATTTCTACTCATTCATTCACCAAATAATTTTGGTATAAATTAAAAATTATTATTTCTTGGTAAACAATAATAAGTCTTACATTATATATATTTATTATAAATTAATAAATATTACAGGGTTTTGATTTATAACTATTATAATAAAGTAAATAAAAATAAAATATTTATAAACTTAATATTACTGTATTATTATGCTGCTCAATGAACTAATTGAAAGTTGTTACTATTTTAAGACATGCTATATTAAGATTTAAAAAAGTATTGTCTTGAACGGCAATTTTGAGCAGCTTTTTTTATGTGTATTTTTATCATTTGTGTTCCGTATGGTATATTTTATATGAAATATATTTTGCACTGCGAAATAAAATGAATTGTAAAAATATTTTTAATGTATATGTGTTATCCACAAGTGTTACCAATATTTAATTTTAAGTGTAATTATAAACCATACGGGAACGATTTTATTATACAGATTGAAAACTTTTTGTTTATTTAAAAAATTAAAAAACTCTAATATTGTTTTTTCTCCAGTTTCATTAAATTTTATAGCAAAAATAAGCAATATAATGTATGTCTGTTAAAATAACCAGGCCTATTATTAAAATACAATGTTGTCTAGAATAATACACATACAATCAAAAATTCATTTTTAGTTTGATTTTGTAAAATATGTTTGTAATTTTAACTATAAACAGCTATTGTTGAAAAATGAAAATAAGGTTATTTGATAGTCACTATACAACAGTGAACGCTTGTGTATATTCTTATAAAATGTTTGTGATTAGGTATGATAGTGTAATGTGTGTTAAATTTAGTGGTAGAAGACTGTTCCTCTTCTGAAAATTTGTTCATTCCTGTTTTAAAAAAAAATAATTATAATTACACAAAAGATCATTCAAAATATTATTATTTTTTTTTTTTTTGTTAATTGCTTTGTAGGACAACAAATGTTGATTTGTTAATGTGTATGCGTGCCAGTTATTATGCATCTTTGACAATAAATTATTCAATGTTCCATTTGTGTGTTTTAATAATTTGGTGTAGTTAAAGACTATATTTGTTCTCATAATGTACTTGTGTTTTTCTGATATTATGTGAGATTCTATTACTTATTAGACTTCATTCAAAGAATAATAGTGTAGTGTATAGAGTAAGTTGTATGTATACTGCATTTTTATATTAAATGATTCAATGGACTTGCAGCAATACAATTGTCCTCAAAATACATTATAGACATGTGTTTATGTATTATGTATATCATGTAGAATTATTAATTTTTTTTTATGGTGCAATACTTGTTTGTGTGATAAGTCACATTGGTCAACGACCAAATTTGTTTTTACCAACATGGCTGTTTGCATAAATTGATATTATGTACAACACCTGTATTGGGCTACTGTGGATGTGTTGTGGTTTTTTAATATTATTATTTACATGTACACATACATACGTATTTTTTGTGTGTGTTATGTGTATTCTTATTTTCAAATAATCATTTATGTATGTAATTTTTTGAAATGAAAACCAATAAAATGCTATGTTGTTTTACTTCTTGTAGTTATCACTCTTCTGTTATACATATTATTAGTATTCTGATTCATAATAATATATTAATATTATAATAGAATAAATGTGCCTATGTATTACAAAATATACATTATTGTTGTTATTGCAGGTGACAATTTTTTAATTTTTTCTATCTTTTTGAATAGAAAAACAAATTGTTGTCTAAACATATCAATAGTTATTTAATTTTATATTGTGATTTAGCATTTATTTGTTAAAAAAATGTGGCAAGTTCAACATCGTGATTAATATTTTATTGTAAAACATTTTTTTTATATATAGGTAAGTTCATATAACTAATTGACTGATTAATTATTAGTCATTGGTAATTTATTTTGTTCCTTTTAAAACTATTAAATTATTCTATTGGCTAATTACACAATACTCAGTACACACATATATATAATATTGGCATAATGTATTAATTAATTAATTAATATACCTAAATTATTTACAATTTGACTAGTGTATTACTATAAACCCACAGATTCTTTTTGTTATAAATACATCACAACTTTGATTATGTAATCATTGCCTGAGAGTTAACTGCATCTCTTATCTACACTTTTAGAATAGATCAACATATTTATACCATTTTTGCATGATGTGTAGTGGTTATTTCTTAATGCATATAAGTCATTATAATATTTTTGTATTTGATGATGTGTAATCAACATAAAATTTGTGTATTAGTGAACATTTAAAAATTTTATTTTCTATTATTTATGATAGAAGTTTGTACTTATGGGGTTTTCTTCTTTTAGTAAATATTTTTCATTAGACTTAGTTTATAATTTATAGAATACCTACACACTTGTTAAAAAAAAAAACATGTACAACTTTATCTTATAATAAAATATTTGCTAGTAATTAATTTCTACTCACATACATATTGTAATACTTCATTTGAATTGAACTAACTTAAATACAGAATAAATATGTAATATTTTTCATTTATTTCATTCCAATCGTTTAAATTTAGATGATTAATTGTGTATTTTACATATTGTAGATTATTTTTTTTTACCATTCTCCATTAATAATATTGTGGTTAATTGAAATCTGTTAAAAAATAATTTTTAATTTAAACAACCCAAGTGTGATATTTGTAAACATCATAATATTATATTAGTCTAGAGCAGCGGTACCCAAACTTTTTAAGTTCAGTCCACTTAAAAATAATAAAATTAATTGCGCTTCCCATAAATAAAAACTATTACAGAAATCCCTGAATCAAGTATATTATAATATAAATTGACTTAAAGTAATACTGAAATAGTGAAATATTTTTTTAGAATAGTGAAGACGCTTCAACAAAATTATTGTTGATTAAAAAATATCAATATTTACCAGGTGGCTTGAGCCTCACAGTTTGGGAACCGCTAGTCTAGAGGAAAGAATAGTCCAAATTCACTATTTTGATGTTGAAAATGTATGTTGAGAAGCCTAAATTGAGTGACAAGTGCAATAGTGCATTGATACAAAGGTATGCAGCCATAAATACAATTAAATTTCATACAAATAATTATCTTGAATAATAATAGGAACCATGGTAGTTTTATTGGGGTATTATTAATTAAAAATAAAATAATATACTGTATGGAATGTATTTTTTATTATACACACATTTCTATAACAAATAATAAATATAAATTAAAAACATAGGAAATTTATAATTTTATCATAAATATATCAAAATATTTAACAAAGGGTAAATAATTTAATTTCAATTATTTAAAACCAATATTATCACGGTACAATTGATTACTTAAGTCTTAAGACATTAAAAGTATCATACTAAAAGTAAGGATGCATGATGATATAGTTAACAGTTACGGATTGTGTAACTTCGCTATCAAATTGTTCATTTTAAATGAGATGTGTGTACCCAACTGTTGGACATTTATTAAAGTTTTAAAATTTAAAAAATATTTTTTTAAATTTGTTTTTAGGTTTTTATCTAATTATAGTGAACCAATACTTTGAATGCAGTTATTTTATCGTATTATCAAATTATACCTCAGAGAATAGAGATCACCTAAAAGGATCATGTTATGAAAACAACTCTAAAATACATTAGTTACCAATTTGTAAGCAAATATTGTACCTTGAAATAATGACAAGGAGAAGCACACTCATGTATGATACAGATTGAACATTATTAATGACAACTAAGTAATAAAAATGTACTACTCGAGTAGTATTTTGGCAACGGATCATAAGATAATATAGTAAAATTCTTTGACCAAAGGCCTATGGTTTTACACAACTGAGAATTATAAGTATTTGTCCTAATATTAATAACGCAGCCCTCGTCTTTGTCAATTGTAGGATTGAATTATTCTTCTTCGGACTTATTGTTTTGGAAAGATGCCAGCAATTGTTCAATTCGGGAATATATGTCCCCATTTTTGCGTTCCAAGTGGTCAAGCACCAAGTTCAGGTTGTCGATCTCTTCGTGTAACTTGTACACGACTACAAAGACATATAAATACATACCTAATTATTATTCTAACCAATGGATGGTGTATACTTTTTTACTGACCAGTATTACCTTCTTCATTTTCCCCTTGAGCCGAGTCCATGGATGGATCGGTAGTCTCTTCTAAGTCAATTTCGTTGGCTTCGTCCGCCATATTTTCAGGAATCTTTGATGACAAATTAACAATACTAAATGATGACAAAATGTTTTTAATGTGTAATGTAAATACCTATCTTTTTGGTTGTTAAACTATCACAAACATCCAACACAACAATGAATATTATTAAAAATTGGAAAGAAAAATAATTTATTTTGAACGACTAATATAACATTGAAATAAAACATGTAACTTACCAGGCGTATAACAATGGCCCAAAAATAAAATAATTCGGAAAATCCAAAATGATTCTAACTTGAACTACAAATATTACAGTCAAACTAGGCGTCTACCGTCTACAACAGTGGCCATGAAAACGATGTCATTACTAATTACAAAAACAGTAGTATTTACCACTTGATAACAGTTTTACTGTTATCAGTGTATTTTTGTTATCTCCACGAACGATAATTAATCATTAGATCATATTATTTAATATCTAATTTTGTATTTTATATTTATTAAAACTATTTTACCGCGATTCAGGTAGTTATAAAGCAGGATAAACATTGTCCACAACCACTTTCTCCCGGCGAACGGAGTATGCTTGAGATGAGCCAAAATGTAAATATGGACAATATTGAACATTGCACTAATATACAAACTATGTCAGGTTAAATTATATTTTAGGTACCTATACGAATAATGCAGTCTGTAAACTCAAAATTCATACACCCAAAAAATTACTACAATAATTAGCTTATTAGAGAACGATTATTAGGAATTCCTCTTGAGATAGGTATTGTGTCAACATTTAAAATATTTATATAATTAAGTAAAAATAGGTAATGAAAAAAAACTGGAAGGGGAACACGAGTACCCGCAAGCAACCGTTTCTTAAAAAGAAAAAAAATTTAAATATTTTACACACAGAAATCAACTAGTTAAATTAATGAAAAAAAAAAATATGTTAACTAAATATAATTTGCTAATTTTCGTGATTTTTACAAATTATGTCAAAATTCTAAGTTGAAATTTTCATAAACAATCATTGTGGATTCACGCTCAACTTTTTTTTTTAATTTGTACTAACAACTTAAGAGAAGCCTTGTTTTATACAAGTTTTTTACCGAGGAAAAATTTCTTATCGACATTAGTTTAAAAAAAACAACAATAATCGAAAAATTAATATGCCTATAAATAGGTCAACACAATTCAAAATATTTTTAAATTTGTATGGTGTATAGAAAATGCTAACACAAATATTCAGTGAAAATTTCATATATGTAAGATCATTTTTTTTTTAAAGTTACAATAAAAACCAAAATCGATTTTTCCAAAAACTGGTTTTGCTTGAAAATTCTTGTTTTTGCTTAATTTTTGTTTGTTTTTCTGATGCTTTTGAAAACTATTTTGAATTCAAACTTATTTTGACCTCCCAAACGCTCCAACTAGATTAACTTTCCTACCAGAAAAGCTGCTGTTGAAGAAAATCGAAGCACTTTTACCGCAAGAAACCATGATGACAGACACACACAAAAAAAAAATTAGTATAATAAATTAAAAACACACATTGTGAAATAAATACACCCATCTTTCCGCCCGGAATCTAAAATATTGAATTTAAAATTTAATTAAAATTTGAATGTTGAAGAATGATCGAATGAAAAATTATAAAATTATTTAACAATACAAGAAGTCTTCTTCATGTACGTTCATTATTTTATTGACAGGCGATAACTATGTAAACGATATGTCAGTTATCAAAACCGAGTTAAAATAGTGAATAAAAATAATGTATTATGATAAAAATAAAATATATACACCAACATGTCTTTGGCAAAAGTCAATTCAACTTACCGTATACTATATTCTAGCGACATCCCAGCTTTATGAAATAATTTAATGTTTGATAAATTACGGCATCGTTTTAATTCGAGGTTGGTTCACAAGCAGGCGTCAAAGCTTGATTCATATATTTTACTATTCATTCGTTATTCAATTCGGCCAAGTAATCCTACCCTTTAGAAATTTTCGGCGGCCTTTGAGTTTTTTGTGGTGAAGGGGTAGAGTTTAAATATTATAATGTAATCAAACATTTATATGTTACTAAAAATGCAAATTGTTGAATTGTGCAGGACATAAGGACTCCCGTACACTATTTATACCTATTTAATTGTATAAATATGTTATTATTCTGCGACCTGAATATGATGCCGTCGTCGTTTGTGCTAGCGTATTTTTTGCGTTGTGCTCTCGGGAATAAAATATAATATGCACCTAATACGTCACCCGGGTAACAAGTTGCCCGTGGCAATAAATTTGAATTTTAAGACTAAAAAGTAAAATATGTATGCCCCAAAAGAATAGGTGATAAAACTTACTTGTGGGTACATAGATTTTTCTGGTTAAAAATAGCTGTGCCATATCTTGAATGCGGAAACCAGACACCGCATCAAGGAACTTTTTTCTTCATCTTAATCCTAACTGGAAGAATAAAAACTACTTGATCAGAATGAAATATGTGAGTAAATGTTGTATATGACGACTGAATGTCGTGTTCAACGACTTGTCGGTTTATATTGTTGCCTTATTACACATTTCTCTTTTGTTCATTGAAATTATTAGAATTGCGAATCGTTTCCGATGAGTGACGAAGACCGGCTTTTGCCATATATTATAAATATTGGATACAATATAATGTGATATCGTTATCAGTTTTTGATTTTTTTAATTCTTTGGATGATACGATACTTTGACTTACGAAAAACCATAAATAATATGGAAATGTCAGGGGTTGCAAATGTATATTTATGCAAGTATGCAACCCTTGCATTATATTTGGGGTCGTAAGTGTGGCCCCATGCATCCCCCCAATTAATCCACTGACTCATGCCTAATAAAAATGTAAATGATTTATGAAGTATTATTTTTAATAGGTACTAAGTAGAAATGTAGATTAAGTAAATTTGAATTACACAAATTACCTATATGAAATATAATTCTAAAATTGTTAATGAAATAATTGTAAAAAGTAATAATTAACTGAGACCACTTTTAAAGTACGCTTCAAGTTGGTCATTACATAAATTAGATATCTATTTTACAATATTACTCGAATAAATAGTGTACTTAAATAATATTTAGATCTATATCAAAATCAATTTAAGTAATTAGCACGAAACAGATAATTGATTTCTTATACTTCAACTTTATTGAGTATCTAAATATCTACGTTTTATTTTTTATTCATATATAATTTATTATTTATGTATATTGAGTTCTTAAATGGCTACATATTGTGGTTTACTACATTCTCATATATTATATTTATATATATGTACAAGCATGTACATATTATTTATACATTATACTATATTATTATCATTTAGCTATATAATAGTTTTTGTCATTCAATTATGCAGTATAAAATATTTTAGAGGCCATTGCCGTAAAAAAAGGTCATACAAGTTTATTAAATTAGCTAATCAAATGATTAATGAGCTTTCTAGTGGTCATGCAGCAAGTAACATAATTTAAAAGGTAAAATCACTGTAATAAAATATAAACAACCTATAACCTTAGTAAGGTTACCTTACCTACATATAGACGTATTATTTTTAGCCAAATTATCATATTCTTATTAAAAATATAAGTTAAAAATCAATACAATTTTTATTATAATGCTATATGATTTACCCTATAGAGCAGAGGTGTTAAATGGCAACCCCCCTTTTTTTGCTCTGTCTCGCTAGATTTTAATTTTCTAATAATTGGCCCTCTATCAACTTTGAGTTGCCCATCCTTGCTATAGAGTATAAACACCTAGTGACATATTTTTTTATGAGTAACAAAATGTACAATAAATAAAATAAAATAAAGAAATTCGTTTTCTTGCTTTTCTATTGTCAAAACGATCAATTATTTTTTATAGATTCTGTTTTTAAAAAAAAAATTGATTTGAGTGTAAAATCACTTTTTCTTGTAGAAAAAATACTCAATTTTAGGGGTGATTTCTGGTAAGTAGTTGGTACTTTAGGGGGATCAATATTTCCGAGTACTTTTAGAAAATAATCGGATGGTGGAGGGGGCTGATCATTTTTTAAAATAATTGTTTGGTAATTTTGGTTACCGTCTTCGCTAAGAGTTGTTTTTCATTGTATACAATGAGTAATATCGTAATTATTTCCAATTGTTATAAATTTTGATTATTGAAATGCATACCAAATCAATACAACGATTATTTAAAAAATAAATTCACTACAGTGATGTAGCTATATTGCCTGTTCAATACGCCGTGTAAACGTAATTATTGTATTATATTGTAAATTGTTGTACAGAATATGTAGACCTCACAATTCAGTGGCGAAGCGGTAACTTAGAGGCGGTCGCCTTGGGTTTTTCAAGGGGGGGGGGGGTGATTAGGTGATGGTTAATAGTATTTTTGTAATAACTATGTATATATATATATATATAATATATATTAAATATGATAGTATTTACCAGACTTAATCGGATTATTGATGCTGTTGGGTAGGTGTACTATTATTATAGTTTAGCCTTTGAACAAGTTCAAGTTCACCACTTTACTGTTTCACTACCAACTATCAACTCGATTTTGTATTTCTAATGAAACTATGCTTTTCCCAGGAAACGGTTTGTAATGATTAAAATAATGAATATGTTAAGGATCAATGATAGTGAGAGTTTAACACGATTGGGCACATTATCAATGATTTACCTGATAATTGTAAACTCAGTAGGTAGTAAAATTAAAGACACGCATGGGATAAAAACTATTTAAAACTTCTTATTGTATTTAACTACTTCATTTTAAAATAAACGGCATTGTGAGAAAAATAATAAATAAATGAAGAGATACCTACTGAAAAAAAATTAGTGTGTAAGAAAATGTTAAGAAAATGATTAAATTGAAAAAAAATACATTTACTTATATGTATATCTATATTATATATAGATGGTGATTCACTAAGTATGCTTAGTGCTCACTCTTTTCTTCTTCTTCAATAATGCAGTTATTCAAAATCTGATTTTATTAATTTTTAAATAAACTTTAAGACCATATTTTCAAATTCTTGAAATTTTTTGTACTACTTGAAGATTATCCTATGGGGATCTGTTCAGATAGCAAAACTATAAATTATGCAGCAGTAGATAAGTTTTTGACGCATCAAAATCAAAAGTCGTAGTCGTACTAGTAGTTTATGAGTTATTTGAGTAACTTTGGGTTCTAAAGATAAAAGTTTTTCATGAATTCATGAGATACGGGGGATATGGTGATTTGAAAATTGTAATCTATAATATTTATTCATTTATATATACATTTATTTTTTATGTTAATAATTTGTATAAATGGCCAAAGTATAAAAAATACTAGATCTAATTTTACGAGGTATATTTTATATGAATATAAAACCAGTTTTCAAGGCTATCATTATTAATATAAATATTTCAATAACTAAGAAACTACTCTGTGGTACATCAAAATTTTTAAAAAAATTATCCACTTATTAATTTACTGTAAAAGAGCGCATGGTTTCATTTGAAAAAAAACAAAGGTTTGTATAATTGTATTACCACAAGACACTTTTAAGTAGAACAAAAAATTCAAGAATTTAAAAATAGGGTCGTTGAGAATATTTAAAAATTTCAAAAATCATAATTTGATTAAATTCATTTTACTGGAAAAAATGAGAGCGATAATGTATGATGAATCATCCTGTATATAAAAATAAGAAAAACGTTTTGAGTAAAAAAATATTAATTAATTATTAATTATAAAAAAATATATAGAAAATATCACAAATTGAATTATATTAACAATTAGGATAACGTGTTGAGGCAAAAAAAAAATTAATTAACAACATATAAAACTAAATAGAAAATATCACATATTATCTTAATTCACAAGAAAAAATAATCCTACAACACTTAAAAGTGAACTAATATTATATGTGTATAACAATATTATTAGTTAAATAAAAAAATATGAAAACAAATTCTATAACAATTTTTTGTTTAAAATAAAATATAAATTAACTCATGCATACTACATAGTGCATCCAGAATGGTAATTCGACAACAAAAAACGCAGATACGTAGTTCATCAAATAATTTTTTATCCAAGTACTACACCAGTCCAGAGTTATAAAAAAGCGATCGACCCACTCAGCACTAAGTATTAAATAAAGTCGAAATTTCTGAAATGACCAATTAGTGCACCAACAATCAATGTTTTGCATTTTATTATAGTAATTTATAAATACTTAATCAACAACTTTAATGATATTATTTTTCAAGTATCTTTACTTACGAGCCTACTTATAAATATAAGTCATCTTATAAAAGTAGGTATGGTTATTAATTTACCTATTTCTGAAAAAATCCTTAATTCCTCCCCCCAATATACTTCGTTTAAAAAATAACAATACTATAAATATGTATTTAATTATATGTATTTAATATGTAATTTACGGGTTTGTCATATGAATATTTTTAAATTTTAACTTAATAATTCACTTTTTAGTGTTTTGTACAACACATATTTACCTGCACTGTATTATATTAATATTTCCAATATTAAAGTCTTAAAAGTTAAAGTGATAGGTATCAGGATTTATTTTAACAGAGTAATTATTTGTTATTCATTCTATAGTAAAAAAATATTTTAAATTAACATCAGCTTAAAATAATTTATGATTTATGTATAACTAATTCTGTAAAATATTTATTGTAATAAACCTTATAATAATATTAATCATTACTATACTAAATCAATGTAAGTTGAAAACGGTAATGTAGGTACCCACCATTGAACATTGGTTATAGCTGTGCTGTTCATTTAAAGGCATGTCATTAACTATCATTTAAAGTGAAAACTTATTTGTAATTGTTTTTTAGTTTCTAAGAAGTTCAAATTGTCCAAAACAATTTAAAGGGGCGGAATGTAATTAGAATGAATAAAATGGTCGTATGATCCAAAAAATCTTAAAGAAAATTAAAATTGGTCGAGTTAAAAATTATACTTCTAAACTCGGATAGAACATATAGATTTTGGAAGAAAAAAATGATTTTGGCCTTTAACAAACACAAAAACAATATTATCGAAGAAGTGAAAGAAGGTGTTGATTGAACCAATGTTATAACACTCATAATCAACAGAATTTTTAATAACTTAATGCTAGAACTATAACTGTGGGAAATATATTCAACAAATGTTTGTCCTATGCGGCTATCCCTACGGGGACACACACACTCAGAATATTCGTTGTGTATGGATTTTAGCTAGGACTGATACGAATCAAGAAATAATAAATGGAATTAGCTTAATTAACAGCATTTGTTTATGGTGTATGTGTCAAGTGCGTGTCGCGTGTGCTTAGAGGAAACGTTCCGTAGCGCCTGGACTGCGAATGTTGACAGAGATTATATTATTATATTGCGATGGTACACAGATGACTTAAACTACATTTTTTTTTTTTTTAAATTGACCGATTCGAAATCGTCAAAGGAACGCGTAAGACCGGATACAACGTTACGCATATTATTATTTTTATTTTATGTTACTTGGGCGTGTTGAAATGTACAATATTATAGTATCATATTATACCAATGTGATGAGTGTATTATATAGTGAAACAAAACGTCCGGTAACCGAGAGAAAGCTAATATTGCAAAGTTTTCGCAGCGTTGGGAATTTCTTATATTATATCGGAGTGGAGTAGATTTTTCACACCAACAAACTGTTATAAATATTTGTTCAATTTTAACCAATTCATAGACAGAATGAATTTTTATTAAAAAAAATAGTAAATATTACTGATATTCCATAAGGATTTGTCAATTTAATAAACTGCATTTGTGAAGAGTTTAGTATGATTTTGTTGGAAATATCATTAATCATTAATATATAAAATACCTATGTAGGTTAAATAAAATATAAATTTAATTTTTACATTATTAATAAGAGTCAGTCCCAGGTAAACAAATTGTTTTTTTAAGTCAAACAAAAACTAAATGTATTGAGTCACCCGATAAAATATGTACTTTAATGATTTGTAAAAATCAAATTTGAAAATGAATTGCTACAAAAAGTTATGGCAGACATATGTAGGATGTTACCTACCAAACAACTGTACCTACCTACGTGTGTATTTATCTACTAAAAACGGTGTATCCTACATCAAACGGCTAATTTTTTATTAATTACAATTTATTAAGCTTAAACTTACTTAATATTTTGCTTATTGTCATTCTGGTCAACAGTATATTTTGTTAATTTGTTATGTATTATAATTGTTGATTGTTATACGTTATAATGTTGTTTTTACGCCATCTCAGAAAAGTAAGTTATCGATGTCTTGGTGGATATTTACCAGTTATCATAATGGGTCGTATTGCGTAGGATTGTATGGCCGTTAATGTTGTCGATCGTATTTTAATGATTGATGACTCAAGTCACAGTCAAAGTTATTATAACGGGCTCCTCTGTTGGGGTTTTAACAAAACAATTAGTTATTACTTTTATTCTCTTCTCTATTGATTTTATGGTATATAGAGAAGTAGATTATAAAGTTATCAATATAGTTTTGCCTACATTTTATTAACCCGAAACGAATAATCATATTTGGTGTACTACTAGAAGGGTCGATGATACCTAATATCATATATATAGCCGCATAAATCGAATAACCCGGAAACGTCAGTCCCTTGTCGATCAATCTGGTTACACTTCAATAACGTGTACAGTATAATCTGTAATATTATACATTCATATCAACTGCCACCACTTTACTATTTTACCTGTGTAATAGTTATAAGTTATAACCACTAAATTAATATTATATTATTACCTATGGATCATGATACACAGTAAATGTACTCACAATGTATTTATATATTTTACTACTACAGTGTACATAGGTGGAGCTAGGTTAGGTAACCTAACCCGATCTAATAATATAATATCCGGAGTTGTATAGGTACGTATAATACAAAATGATATAATATTGCACGCTCAGCGCAGTACATAATATAATATACATATAGAAGTATAGGCACCTATTGAGTATTATATACGCGTGCAGTGCACAATGCCCTCTCGTGATGTATACAATGTAAGAGGGGTGTGGGCTTGCAGCAGTACCCCGCAGGGATTCCGTAAGCGAAATATCACCCGACGAAATCTCGCCCTCCCCTCGCCGCGCGTCGGAAAAATTAATTATGAATAATGGAAGGCACTGCCTCCGCCGCTGACGGAAAGTGCGCGCGTAGTCATAATATTTTCATTCACGCCGAGTGCCTGCAACAGAGGATGGAGACTCGGTGGTTGTGGCGGAGACGACCGTACCACAGTGGCGAGGGTGGGCGCAGTCGGGGAGGTGGCGGAGACGGAGTTCGTGTGCACAAGGGTCGCTTGTGTCCGAAGGGTGTGGCCGCCCTATCTACCACGGCTACCCTCTCTCCCGGCGCCGAATAGCCGGCCGGCGCGGAGATGGGGGGGGGGAGGGGAAACGAAAGGGAAAAGTACCACCGCCGTCTTTCCGCCCCCCCTCTGTCGCCCGTCGCCATTTCCACCCCTTCAAGTTCGGCTATTGATTCCACCTGCAGCGGCGTTGCCGAAGGGCGCGAACGACGAGCGACGGCGACGGCGACCGGGCACGACGTCTCATCCGCGGCGAACCTACACACACACGCACACACGCTGCAGACACACGCGCGCACGCAAGCACAAGTCGGCCCCGCGAGTTTCTCGTCGTGCAAAACGTTTTCAGTGAGACTCGGACGACGGCCTCGGCTGCAGGGACGGCGGACTAGGCGCGGACGAGGAGCCGGCGACCGGACTCAAAAAACGTTCCATTCCTCGCGAATATACCCACCCGAGACCAAGTACGTATGCATAAATATATTTTACAAATGTTAAGTATCATACGACTACGGTGTGCGGCAAAAATATACTCTATAGCCCTCATTATTATTATATTTTATATTATTATGGCGTGCGGTGCCGCACCCGAAATCGCTGGCGTACGTTATTTACCCGCTATATTATAATATACGCGCGTGCGGCGGTACAGCAGTTGTGAGTACGCCAAAAGTAATATTATTTATATATTATAACGACAACTTCTCTTGGCCACCGACTGCCGTCGTACGAACGTCATTATAATATGATACGACTCGTCGTGTACTTATCACGTGACTTTAGACTATCGTAGTTATTATGAAATCACGTCGTGCGATTAACTGCGCGTTCCCGATGATGTGTATATAATAGTATATAATGTAATATATACTTAAATATTTACTATGTTTTAGTCGTAGGTGGTCACGGCCAGTGCCAGACGACGATAGTTATCGCGGTTAATAACTATACATAATATTAATTATAGCGTATACATTATTCAGCGTGTGAAATTTCGTTTCAGGGATTTCAGACGCATTGGACATTTCGATGATATATACTGCCATTTCACAATTCCAGTACACGACGACACTGCGCCGACCGACCAAAAGGTACAACAGCAGCATCGAGAGCCTGCTCACGTGATATCCAAGTATCTACTCTTCTGTGATTTCGGCCCGAGGCCGAGTACACAAACGCCGTGTTCGCCGGATAAATCTGAGGTTAAAGGTAAAACGATTTGCAAACAAATATATAAAAACGATCTGTTTACGCTTTTACAGTGTGAAAATGTTCCGACGAAAATACAATAAATATAACGCTATACGGTGTTAGGGGTATGTAGTTAGGGAGGGGGGGGGGCAGGGCCGCGGCTGAACCGGCGACCGCGAACTTTTCCGACGCACATTCTCTTCCGGCCACCTGTTTTCTATAATATTATATAGTTTCCCAGTTTTCCTTTCGTATATTGTACATATATATATATGTATATATTTATATATAGAGAGAGATGTAAGTATATAGTATATAGGTGCCTGTACAAGTACGACGAATTAGCGTAATTGAAAAAACCGTGTTTTTCCTATCTGCCTGCGGCCGATCGGGTCACACCCTTTTCGTCATATTATTTATTATTTATCCTCTATTTCACACTCGTAAAACTCAAACGGGCGTCGGTCGAGAGGACGTGTTAAGAGCCGTTTCACTGCTACACCGAAGTTTTTCGAAGGAGGTCATTGGAGGTTATAAACTTACATATGAGTACCAATCGAGTGCTTTCTACCGGTGGGCTTTTGTTTAATTTCCAAATTAATCTGATGGCGCAAATAAAGCGCCAGAAAATCCATAACTGTTTGCGCAGGAAATCGTTTTGCACGCAATTCACGCCTTTATTTTATTTTTTTGAAATTAATTGACCGCACACGACATAATACTTAATAGTTTATACTATTACCGAGGCCCGTACTATATATTATGTGGGTGTACACGGGGGATGATGACTATTAATAATAATCTTCAGAGAGAAACAGAGAACACAGCGGAGTACTTTTATTTTCTTCATTAGGGTTTTGTTTTTGATCAATAAACCGGTATTTCATTGCCTTTCCGAGCGTAGCTTTACACGAGAATAAACCTACAGATTTAAAATACAATGCTGCACTTCCACTGCTGACCCCATCGTGTATTGTTTCTTTGAACCTATATCAATAGGAGCCTTTCTAACTAAAACAAGTTTTTCAATGTTTAGGAATTTTAAAGTTGACTTATTCTTCAGTACCTAGTGTTATTCTCTTAGGGTTTTTAATAATAAATATTGGTTTACTATTAATATTTTTGATAAAAAATTGTTTTGTTTTTTTTTAAATTAAGTAATACCGATGCATAAACATTATTTATATCAATATAACCATTGACAAATCAAAAATGTAAATCTCTAATTGAATCGTTCTGAACTGTAGTCAGTGGAAACTGGAAAGGCCATATACATTTTACGGAATACTTAATGATGTAACAACGTTCACGGCTACATTTTATTTGATTGTGTTTACTGCAAGAGTATAAAGAAATTCAAAGTGTATTTTTTACATTTTAAAAAATGTAAGTTATTTTCACTATACCAAGGTTACCAGTTGCATTTGTATTATACTTTTCGCTAAAGATAAAATGATTTCCAACTATACTAGAATTTGCATATATATTTGTATACTAATGTAGGACGATAGGTATATAATAACTAATAAGTAGATAAATAATATTCGGTTCCATAGTTTAAAACTCGTAGGTAGGTTACCAGGCACGTAACCAGACCTTTTTTTAAAAAGGGGGCCAACATTTTTTGGCCCCTTTCCGTTTTTTGTACCCAATACCACTCCTCTCCTTATCAGATAATATCTATATAAAATAATACTGCATTTCACAATGTATATTGTCTGTATTGGTTAAGCATTATATTTTTATTACACATTAATATAGGTATACAATATAAATCTTAAACAACTAAACAAGGATTAAGGACAAGTCGTCTATTTTTATGGTTCGCAGCAAATTGTCCAGTAAATTCATCTAAATCTAATAATTTCACTCGTATTTGGAATTCCTAGTTTTCAATCAATTAATAGACGTATTATTGTCTTATCTCAAATTGTCGAGTAACGAATATTTATAAAATAGAATCTCGGAATTTAATTTCAAAGGGACCAGTTCGGGGCCACTTACTTTTCTTAGGGGGCTACTAAGCCCCCCCCCCCCCTTGACGACGTGCCTGTAGGTTACCGACTACACACAGAAGCGTTCACGTTCACTAAGACTCTTTTTGCCCATCAGTTCGTTTTTGACAAAAAAACGTCATTAGGTACTATTAAAAAGTAGCAGTTTAAGTTTATAGTATCTCTTTAAATTTAATTAGCATACAAGGAGATCCGTTCAACGTTCTGCAACATTAATTTTAGAGATTAATTTTTGTGATTTTTAAGTATAGGTTACATACTTACATAATAAGTAATACAATAATACATAGTATTATATATCTGTACATTAAGTATCAACAATAGTTCAATAAATAATATACTGTCTACAAAAAAATATTATATCAAATTCTGATTTTTATCACAGGTACCGCAGCGTTAGATTTTCAATTAGCGGAGATTTCCGAAACTGGAGAACGGATTTTGTTGTTTGTGGTCTTGTTAGATCCACATTGGCTAGGAGAAGTGCAGTGAAGATTTTCAGAACTTTATCTTCAATCGTTAATTCACTAAAATAAGCTTTAAAGCTGAAACACATCAAAAAATGCCCAATAAAATGTGTTTTAATTTTTTTTAAGCTCTTTAGTGAATTAACTATTAAAGATATACGCCTGAAAACCTTCACTGCACTTCTACTACCCAATGTGAATCTAACAAGTCCCCAAACAACAAAATCCGCTCTCCAGTTTCGGACATCTACCTCACTAGAATTTATTCAAATTAGGTATACTTATTCTATTTGTTATCAAGTTTTATAAATAAGCAGTTTAATAAACAAAGCAAGCAAAATGGCTTTAATACCTCTTACATTCAAATCGGTTATGTACAACCTACTAATTGCACTATAATATAATATATTCTCAACAAATTAATTTGCAATTAATGATTTCCTTGAAGTA